AATCAGCAAAGGGTTTTCTTTGAAGAGGTTGATTTCTTAAATAATCGAATAAGTGAAGACCAGACCTAGGCGACTCGAGAATAGACTGGTAGGTTTCTGAGTGAATTCAGGCTGGGGATTTTTTAAAACATTTGGACCCGGACCTGAGTTTTATATTTTGAATATGAGTTTGTGATACATGTGTTGAACTAAATGTGGTTAAGAGGACAGACCTTTTTCACTAGCGTTTCCCTTTATATCAAAGACTTTTTGACGCTAGAAATCAAAATACTCTCACTTGTAACCATGTGGAAATGATAGCTAATGTGGTGACTATATTGATTGTATACACAAAGCGTCTCTATCACATCGTGGTATCCAAAGCTTCTGACATATCCATCCAAGTAATATACATTTCCTAAAACATCCTTCTACTATAATTAACAGTTCTACTTTCCATTAAACTTATTCATCTTGCGATGCTGTTACCTTTATTTATGAAGATACAGTACCACAAAGCATGTGTCGTATCTTCTTGTCTGAGTCACCTTTGTAACGTCTACAACTTTAAGACAGTGGTATCTTTTGACTATTTCTCTTGCCTTTCTTTTTCATTTACTTGATGGTTATAGTGTATTAACGATCCGATGCTACCTTACGTTTCTTTTTTCTCCTTCTTTTTCTCATTAAAAGTTTTTTGTTATAGTTTATACACATTCGAAACGTTACGCTTCAACGCCTAAACTTGAGCCAACACGAAAAGAATGATGTGCAAAGAAGAAATTTCAACCATGATGCATACAAATAACACCAAAGCATTCATTAAAAAATCATCTACATTACTAAATAGTGGAGTCAAGTGCTACAATAGCTTTTGACGTTCACGAATACTTTAAACCAAGTCTCTTCATAGTCATTGGCAAAGTAATACAACTCTTCACGGTCGGATAGAATCCGATATAATAATTTGTTAATGGTAGGATCCAGCTTTTAAGTCAACATTAAGTGGAAATGATATCTAATCATGTTCTGCTATATTCCGACAGACGAATCGTAGAGTAACTGCTATCTCATCTTTTCTTGGAAGAAACCGGATCTAGCAAGGAGAGCTTAGTAGTTGTGGCTTCATACGAAAAGTCTAGGCATAATTTATGCAAAACACAAGCGTAATTCATTAGACCAAACAAATTAGGAGTTAATTCCAGTACAAGGAAGGTCTCAACTAGTATAAGTTAGTAGTTAAAGCTGTTATCACAGTTCGCTAATGAAATCATTTAGTTAGAACGTATGCTCAACTTTTTATAACAGTTTTAATAACCGTTAAAGTGCGTTTTCTTGTGCGCTGGTTTATACTATCATTCATGTGGCATTTATTGTTATATTGAGCTGGCAGAGGAGTGATTTCTTGACTGAATAAAAACGAATAATAAATATACTGGGATAATTGTATTGTGAATTTAGAAAGAGGAGGTTCAAAAGAGGAACCTGAAAAAAGTACCTTCTGATTTTCTTTCTTCACCAGACTGAGTGGAAAGGGAAGCTTAACACTCTCTATTGCGAGAAGAAACATTTTGAATGACAAGAATTTTAGAATAAATATAACGTGTTGAGCTTTACAGTACTGCGGAATAACGTGCCAAGATTACCGGTCCGCAAGGCCAATGGTCAAATCACTATAGTTACGTCGACAAGTTATTAGTATGAGTTCGACAAAGCATGTAAAGTCTAAAGAACCATAGAACTATAACGATCTGAAGGAAATGATAATGCTGCAGCCAACTGATTCAGATCATTTACCTCAAGCGAGACTGACTAGGCATGGAAATCTAACTGCAAAAGCGCCACAACAACCCCTTATAGTTAGTTCATTCAGATTATATGATACATTTATCTAGTTGAATGCTAGTTGAGATCGCCTACTAGTTGAACCAGTCACAACATTAGTCAATTTAGGTTCTTCAATAGCAACTAGTTGTATCAAATTCTAGATTGAAGCTATACGTAGCTTGAATTAAAGTCACAATAATAATATTATCACCATTGTAACAACATGCATGGATTTTATGAATGCGCACAGAAAGATGGCAGTTCAGTTAACAATATTTTCTGATAGAAACAGCCAGTGGTACTTGATCAACTTCAGTTCAATGATTAACTGATTGCTCAAAAATACTTCAATAAAAAAGTTAACGATTACAGTGATGATTCATTTAAAAAAGGTGAGATATTTATTTATTTAACATTAACATTTTAATGAATATCTTATCGAACATTCTTACTAATCAGCAGAACCATGATGAAAAATGTTAAGGCTTAACCAGGGTTTTCAATTTGTAGATAGAATGTTTATAGAAAGTGTGAGCGAGAAAATAACAGAGAGAACCTGTCTCTTATGCAGAGATAAGGCTTTTTTGCAAATGTGAACAATATTGGTTTGAGATTCTCTCTTGAGATAACAAGGAACATTTACTTTTTAAGAAGCAAATTTTAATTCGAAATGCTAAAAAGTTAAGTTAAATTGTATTCCTTCTGTTTAGAACATGAAATAACCGATGCTCATTGTTCACGTCATCTAACCAAAACATCTAGTCATTTATCACGATAAATGTCATCGCTAGCTATAACTAAATGTGCGTTTGATGTATTACAGTTATACTATGAAAGAACGTACAACTTTTAAATTAGATAAAACTATGGTTGAAAAATTTATTTCAAAAAGTTAAAAATGTAATAAAAAATAATTATGATGGAAAGATTAATAATGCAATGTCAGGAGCATCAGCAACTAGCATAGAATCAGCAACAAATTCTAATGAATTTTTAATGGTCAATAATAGTATTATTGATGCTTCCATTTATTTCATTGAAATAAATTTAGAGTAGTAGAAAGCATTGTTTAATACTGAACGTAAATTTGTTGCATCTCCACAATTATCAATAACATTGAAAGACGATGATGTATCATTGATTTCAGCAATAAGCCAAAGTTCCAATGCAGAAAAAGTATCGAGAGTTTGCTATCAACTTCTTTTATTTGATAGTGTTTCTTTTTCAAAGACACATTTATACACAGATCCATATATAAAACGAAATAATAATTTGTTCGAAGCACTATTAAAAGATTTAATTAAAAAAGCTGTGTGATTTGATTTTAGCTGTGTGTCTGTTTGTTGTTCATAATGGAATCAAATCACTGAAATTGTATGTTAAACAAGTATCATGTGAAAACGAATCAACAACTGAAATTATTGAAAATTAAGAAAAATTACATGAATATAGTACTAACTATTTATCATTTAAACAAGCATGTGTAAAACTAACTTTAACTGCTGAAAAAGCAAAAATAAAAATTGAACCTTATCGAAAAATATCATCTGATCTCTAGACTTCAAATGTACTACAGCAAGATATTTCTTCTTTTCTACATGAGCAATCAAATGCAGTTGCTAACAAACCGATAACAACATCAAATGCTGATCCTGGTAACTTAGTAACTCTCAATTTTGTCTTCCAAAATTAACGTCTCTTTCTTTTTTAGTCACATCTTTAGCTGATAAAAAGAAAAATAGTAGTAAAAAAATTATAAAAGTAAAACCAAATTTAAATCAAAACGGTAAAACGAATAACTGTTGGAATTAAACTTCAAGATAAGGAAAAATGAATTGAATAGTATACCAACAGTTAATTAATGAAGATGGATTCGATAATAATAATCGCAATGAATTAGACGAAAAGAATATTGACGTCATCTTGAAGCTTTTTGAAAAAAATCTTAACGAAAAGTAAGTGAACGAAACGATCAAATAACACATAAAAGAAAATAACTTTTATGTCTTATTCAATATTTTGCTTATTTCAAATCATGGTATGATATTAACAATTAAGAGATAGTAAATCGACTGGACAAGTCTTCTATGCTAAGAATAGTTCGCTCTTAAATATATGCGTCTTTTTGTTCCAGATAATAGTATTTAAAATGGAAGATCGAATGAACAACAAACGCCAAAACGTGATCAATCAAAAAGAAAACTAAGGTCATCAGATAACGCCAGTATACAATCGACAAAAGATACTGTTGTCAGTGATGACGAAATTCAAATACAAAGTGTTCAACAATCAAGACGAAAAACTTCATTAGCAGATCGTACTCGTGCTAAATGATGTCAAAATAAAGACCATTTGCCTTTTCAATTTGACCATGATTCACTATAATTTCTTTATTTTCTGTTGAAGTTGTTGCACTTCAGTATTTTCCTTTTCTTGTTACCGCTAGTTTCATTTTTCTTTCGTGTTACTGAACATTAAAGGTGTTAATAATATGATTGAAAACTTTTATTTTTAACATGGACTAGCTTGGATCAGTCTTATAATATCTTTCTAAAATAATTTTTTGCTGTCATAGCAGTAGGTCTTTAATATTTTTCAGACGGCTTCTTCACTTTCAAAGACAAATAAAATGGATAATAATTATGTAGAAAACATATTATATTTAGTTAACACATTATTAAAATATATCCAGCTAGAACATATTTCAAGTTGTTTTTTTGTGCTAAATAATGTATTACCGGTTCATTTACATGATAAAACTGATCATATTTGTCGTATAACAAACCAAAAATTCAATACAAGCTATAGTTCAGAAGAATTTTTTCTTTATTACATTACAAAATTCAGAAATGCCAAAACCTACTTCATTCATTAATGTTGAAGAAACTCTAAGCAATTACAGCAATAATCCTGCTAATTTGTTAATGAGTGACAGGTCTGATAAAAATAATTACATTCAATTAACTATATTCGAAAATGTAAGTTATCCAACAAGTGTTTCCGTGAGTGATTGTATAGCCTATAATCCTTTACAGAATGAGGATCATTTTTCTTGAAAACGGGCACCACAGAGCCAATTTTTAAGGAGTCAGAAAAGATAGAATGTTTTAGACTAGCGTTGAAAAATGTCAATGCGGAAAAAACTTTCAGCGATAAGAGATAAAGCTCATTAACATATATTCTCAATCTATTTTTCACAAGCTTTCTGATGATGTCTCAGTAAAATTAACTCCAATCTTTTGGGCAAAATTAATAACAATAGCGCTCGTATTTTCATTTTTTTCCTCCTCTTTAATATCATAAATTCTGACAGCACAACGTCTGCCATACTGTTCCAGGTCATTACACTTGTATTGTAAGTCTTCCATATGCGATTGCATATCTTCCATTGTTGATTGAATTTTTTTTATGCGATTTTCATACACTAACATTTTCTCATCAATAATTTTTTTGATGAGCTGTTGAAACGATTCACTGCTGACCACTACTTCTACAGTACTTGATATCAATGTATCATGCGATACTACAGCATTAACAACACCGGATAAAAATTCTTTCGATGTGACCACAGTTTTTAATTGGCTTAAATCTTGCGGTTGTAAATGAGCTGAAATTACCGGCGACGAAGGTTGCTGTGTTGGATCTCGTTTTGATTTAATTGCAATATTATCACGACGACTCATTTTGCAAGAAAGAAACAGTTGGAATAAGAAAAAGCGATAAGATATTCCTTTTTTTTAGAGACGCAGACGACGTCTGTTCATCACTAATATAAAAAGAAAAGTCATTAACACGCGTCAGCGTTCAAGGGCCGTTACAAGACTCTAGAAAGAAAATGTTTTACTCAAAATAAGTCGTCGTCAGTATGATTTGCACTATTTTCTGTTGTTCTGAGCAGAAAAACCGTCAAAATTTGTGTATCGTTTCTAAAAAATTATTCGACTCGGCCAGATGAAAGAGCATTTCGCGAAAGCTATAAAAACATATTTTCAAAATTTTCCGAAGGTTTTCAGACACTTTTTGGAGGCTGAACCTTGGATTTTTCTGGAAAGTGTTACGAAAACTGTCGAAAAACCTTCGGAAAATTTTGAAAATATGTTTTTTATAGCTTTCGCGAAATGCTCTTTCATCTG